TAGTAGTGTCACATGATTCTTTAGAAATCAGTTAACAGCTGTTAAATCTTTTGGTGAAACCATGATATATATATTTTTTCTTTGAATGCTTTTTTTTTAAATAGAAAGTTTCTTATTAATTATTTGTTATTTGGTTAATCTTTTTAAACATAAATATTCTTTGGAAGTATCCTTGAATATAGGTACTTTTTTTCAACTATATTAAAAATACAGCTGAATATCACTCAGTATTTATGCATTTGCCTTGAAATGAAAAAGGTTTACCCAAATAGCCATCAAAATTGTAAATATAGTAAGTAATATTTAATAATGTGTATGTGTATTGTGGCTTTCAAATTACAATACTTAAAAAAAATGTGTCTAGTTAAGTACATTGTTGATCAGTCAATTACCATGAGGGAGTATTTTATACTGGTTTGCTTAAACATATTTGCAAATTGAAGCCGATTTTATAGATCTGAGTTTATAAACAACTAAAAGTCATTTTACCTTCCCAGCAAAAGCATTTAAAAGCTAATACTTAATTAATCACAAGCTCTAGTGAAGTGTGACTGTAAGCATTTCTCTTGTGGTGTATGTATAGGGAGAGAAGAGCAGCGTAGACTGGAAGGATCTGAATCTTGTTCTGCCCTGTTTGGAGTATCACAACAACACCTGGACCTGGCTGGACTTCGCTATGGCTGTGAAAAGAGACAGTCGGAAAGCGCTAGTTGCACAGGTAATCACTAGACAGAAAATCAACCTTTAAAGGTGCTCGATGTACAATTCAGAAATCCTACAACTTATTGTGTTTGACAGCTTATTGTCCTTTATTCACTCTCATGGGGCTTGGCGATAAATCTCATAAAACTCAAATCACGATATAAGTCATCAACTCACATCCTGATGATAAACGATATACATCACAAATTATTGACCACATGTAAAGCAGTGTTTATTTTTTACATTTATAGTATTTACTCAGGGATTTGCTAATTTATATATGTTTGTTTTTCTCACTTTAAAAAGAATTTCAGGAAAATGCTTGATTAAAAATGTAGAAATGTAAATTAAATATTAATAAAGTATAAAACATTTCTCAAAAACCTATGATTACATGTCCAACATAAAATTCATCAGACATACACTACCTGACAAAAGTCTTGTTTTCAGTCCCAGTTATAAGAGCAACAAATGATAACTTGACTTCTAGTTGATCTTTTGGAAAACTGGCAGAGAAAGATTTTTTCTGATGAATCATCTGTTGAACTCCATCCCAACCATCACCAATACTGCAGAAGACCTATTGGAACCTGCATGGACCCAAGATTTTTTCAGAAATCTGTCAAGTTTGGTGATGGAAAAATAATGGTTTGGGGTTACATTCAGTACGGGTTACATTCCATCAACAGCCTGAGGTATCAAGACATTTATGCTGCCCATTACATTACAAACCACAGGAGAGGGCAAATGTTTCAGCAGGATAGCGCTTCTTCTCATAATTCAGCCTCCACATCAAAGTTCCAGAAAGAAAAGAAGGTCAAGGTGCTCCAGGATTGGCCAGCCCAGTCACCAGTTTAAACATTATTGAGCATGTAAGATGGAGGCATTGAAGATTAATCTAAAGAATCTCGATGAACTCTGGAAGTCCTGCAAGAACGCTTTCTATGCCATTCCAGACGACTTTATTAATAAGTTATTTGAGTCATTGCAGAGATGTGTGGATGCAGTCGTCCAAGCTCATGGGAGAATATTCATTATTTTTCCACTGCACCATGACTTTATATTCTATACTGTACATTATTTCTGTTAAGTGACAAGACTTTTGTCTAAGCAAAGTAAGACCTTACTGTCCTAATTTAATAATTCATAATAAATCATCATTTATTTTGGTAAAAAAAAGCGTAATCTAGAAGCCTTTGCCTTTCTTATAAGCCACTTCTGATACCAAATGATCAACTGGAAGATGTTATTTGTTTTTTCTAAAACTTGGATAGGTGACAGTGGTGATAGTGTGTATAACATTGTACTTTCAAGATTGCAAATTTCTCACAATATCTGTTTACATCCTCATAGTGGCATGTATTATTGCGCTCATGTAAATTATGAAAATGTATTGCCATAGACAATGTATTTTGTGACGCCACAAAATAAACGTTAGAGCACAATATGAAATAATAAACTTAGTCAATACGCTGGATATGGTCATACTTCACAGCCCTCAGATTGCTTACCATGACACTTCTCTCTCAAACTGCATAGATGATAAAGGAGAAGCTGCGGTTGAAACCAGCCTCGGGCTCAGAGTCTCGAGGGAAAGCCACGGACGGTAAAACAGACAGCAGCCTCCAGCAGCAGGTGGAGGACGAGAAGGCCAGGCTTCTGATCGGCTTCAGCACGGCGGACAAGAGCTCCAGCAAAAAGAGCATCTTCAGTCGCCGCAAGTGAAACAGTTCGTGAGAGAAGATGTGGACTGTGATGAATAAATCAAGTCCAGAAACCCTCTCCGCTTCACCAGGGGTGCCTTTAGAAGTCCACGCTGGATGTGGACATGAAAACCAGCACCGGATGAGATGGAGTCATTCTATAGTCTAACATCAGGGCTGTACATTTAACATTTGGTTTTATGTACTGCTGTTGTGTGAGTCATTTACTGTACATATATTGGAGGATAACGTCCTTGTGGCTCCAGAGGGTGTCCCACAACTCAAAGGTTCATCTGTATTTTGTGATCAGTGTATTGTGACGCCTCTCCTGCTGGATCAGGAGACACTAGTGTTAGAATCTTGCTTGGAGCTGCAAGAAAAATCTGAACCGTGCGTGTACTGGAAAACCCATATAGTTCCACTGTATGTGAAGTTATGGATGATTAATCCACACTTTAGGGGAGTGTTAAATCCTACATGGTAATAGTTAGTTGACCACTGTTTTACTGTACTAACTACATAGTGCAATACAAAAGCGAATGGACCGTGTCATTGGGAAAGCATCTTGTTTTATGCCATTTTTGCGGCCGATCTGATTAATTAATGCTTTGTAATTTTAACACTATGGCACTTTTTACACAAAGTATTTTCTGATATTTTTGTATCTGTGCGTTATTTCTGGTATCGTTTCGATAATGTCTTCAGATGCTGCTGATTTTTTGCTTGTCAGCTTCAAAAGTCAAAGATGTTGAGCTTGAATGTTTAAAAATTGAGCACTATTTTGATTTTCTTTTTCTTCCCGCCCCACTGTATCAGGCATTGGGCCTAGTTATTGTTCTTTGTACAAATAATGGGAGGTATTCAATGTCACCACGCATGCAAATTAATATTTGTCTGTAAAATAAAAAAGCAGGCCCAAATGAGTCCTTCAGAAACTCTTATTTGTTCTTGTTTTATGTATCTACTGCTCATTAACACAAATTTCTCATCAGCTAATCACATGGCAGCGACTCAATGCATTTAGGCAAGTAGACATGGTCAAGACGATCTGCTGCAGTTCAAACCGAGCATCAGAATGTGGATGAAAGGTGATTTAAGTGACTTTGAACATGGCATGGTTGTTGGTGACAGACGAACTGGTCTGAGTATTTCAGAAACTGCTTATCTACTGGGATTTTCACGCACAACCATCTCTAGGGTTTACAGAGAATAGTCAGAAAAAGAGAAAATATCCAGTGAGCGGCAGTTCTGTGGGCGTAAATGCCTTGTTGATTCCAGAGGTCAGAGGAGAATTGCCAGACTGGTCCGAGCTATTAGAAAAACAACAGTAACTCAAGTAACGCACAACACATCCAACCTTGAACCTTGTCCAACCCTGTCTGATAAGAACAGGAACTTTAGGCTACAATTCGCACAGGCTCACCAAAATTACACAATAGAAGATTGGAAAAACGTTGCCTGGTCTGATGATGAGTCTCTATTTCTGCTACGACATTTGGATGGTAGGGTCAGAGTGTGGCATCAACAACATGAAAGCATGGAGGATCCATCCTGGCTTGTATCAATGGTTCAGGCTGGTGGTGGTGGTGGTGGTGTAATGGTGTGGGGGATATTTTCTTGGTACAATTTGGTCCCATTACCATTAGTACCAATTGAGCATCGTATCAATGCCACAGCCTACCTGAGTATTGTTGCTGACCATGTCCATCCCTTTATGACCACAGTGTACCCATCTTCTGATGGCTACTTCCAGCAGTACAACACGCCATATCATAAAGCATGAATCATCTCAGACTCATCTCAGGTTTCTTGAACATGACAATGAGTTCACTGTACTTAAATGGCCTCCACAGTCACCAGATTTCTATCCTATAGAGCACTTTTGGGATGTGGTAGAACAGGAGCTTCAAATCATGGATGTGTAGCTGACAAATCTGCAGCAACTGCTTGAGGATTAAGGCAGTTCTAAAGGGAAAAGGGGGTCCAAGCCAGTACTAGGTAGGTGTACCTAATAAGGTGGCCAGTGAGTGAAGGTATAACACAAGAAGTTGGTGAAATATGAGGACATTCCTGATGTCCTCATTTCGCAAAAAGCTCTTCTAAATAACACAGAATGGGTTTTTTTCAGAAAGTAAAACTACACAGTTTCCTGTGAGGGTTGATTTTAGGGGCAGGGTGAGGTTAGGGCAATAGAAAATACAGCTTGCACAGTATAAAAACAATTAAAAGCTATGTAATGTCCCCACAATTCACAAAAACAAACATTTGTGTGAGAATTGTTAGTGTTTTAGATAAAACTAAAAATCGTCGTAATTAACAGGAATACGTTAAACTTTTATAATGATAAAGATATGCGTGTTTTATTATAATACATTTGATCATAAATGTATTAATAATTTAGACAAAGATTATTAAAATTAGTCGGTGTAGCAAATACAATTGGAGATTATTAACACGGACCATTCACTGAACATTAGAAACAATAGTCGAATTACGTAATCAATCAGTGATGACGTTTCTGGCGTTTGAAGTACAATGCTGTGAGTGACTTATAGACTTGTTTATATGTTAATATTAATGAGTGGGCGGGTAGAGTCTTTCGATTCTACTGCATGTGTGTCAAAGCTTTGTACACTTGCTTGTTGAAATGGTTTGTGCTAAAGAAAAGAGGACCGAAGTCACTGACACGTGGTTCACTTTTTATTGAAGGACTTCTGTGGGGAAAGGTGGTTTTTAAGGAAGAACGTGTCGTTAATGTATTGTTTATAACATGCGATGGGCGGCGACGGGAGTAAAAATAAGGTAGGAGTGTTTATTGCTGTCACACCTCACATTGATGGAAAACGGACGAATGTTTTGTACTTGACGCAGCTGTACATAATTACAATTGTCTGATTTAAATATTGATTCATGAGACAAAAATAGAGGCTAAACTATCGATTTCATGAGGCAAAATTACACGGACACTTGAGATGTTGCCAGTCTTGGGTGTTGTTCAGTCAGTCAAATGTATTTGCTTAACAAAATGTTTACAACTGAACTGACAACAGAACTACCAGATGTGAAATCCACACAATATATATATATATATATTTTAAATGTGTATAGAAAAAAAAGAAAACATAATTAATTAAACGAATTTTTATTTTAGTTATGTCCTGTCATAGTTTTGGCATATTTTGCACAATTCATATATCGTCCACATTAACAAAAGTATGAATGTTGACATCACTAACATAGCAGGCCCGCAGGGGGGGTCGGGTGGTTCGAAAGAAAGACCCGCCCCTCACTGACAGGTTTAAAATTTGTCCCAGAAGCTCATTTGTCCTATTTTGATTGCTATGCCATCATAAATTGTGCAAATAACCCATCCAAAAAATGCTTTAAGACCAAGGGGAATCCTCTGGCAAATGCAAACAATAATTTTTCATGATGAGTCCAACATCTATCTGTGCAAGAAAACATATAATCTGACGTGTGAAGTCATCTTTCACTACTATATTGCTGTAATATGGAGAAAACATTTTTCCAGTAATTTTTATTCTAAATCTTGGACCTTATTCTTGAAAAAAAGCGTCCCATATTACAAATGTTTGAACACTTTTTTGGCTATTGTTGTGAAGCTCTTCATTATTAATATTTTTAATTGTTTTATTATTCAAAGAGCTAAATTGTGACTGAGGGAAGTCGAACATGCTGGCCAGTTTGTTATTTGACTATCAAATGACAATGACTACAGTTTTTAATTTTAAACTTTAACAGATTTCTATTTTTGTCTAATATTATATGATGTCATACATTTGTATTTTTTAAAAAAGAATTTTAATTTTTTTATTCATATTTCTTTATTAGAAATATTTAGGAAATATGTTTGGTACATCAAAAAGTGTGGTTATGATGAAAGCTAATCCAGCAAAAAATAGTGCTTAAATATCACAAAATTGCAGTATTTAATCATAATTAAATAGAATATGAGGCAAATAATTGCAAAAGGTTTACTTTTTGAGGAAAAAAAGAACCACCCCTTTCACCAGGCTGGCATAGACGCACACTCAGGGGAAAAATGAATGAATAATCATCCCTCACAATTGAATGTTTTCCACTACATATGCTAAAACATTATTAAAAATCTACCAAGTAATGTGTAAGTAGATTTTTTACATTTTTAGTGTGATTAGGAGAACACAATCCGTTAATATTTCAGCATTCCACCAACAGAAGGCAACAAATTACCAGCAGGGACCACTAGAGTGTCCACTAAAACCAATACAATTACCATTTTAGCCCTTTATAGCAGGTGTGCACAAACTTATTCTTATGAAGGGCCAAAAACCAACTTGATTGAGGCTAGTGGGTCGAAGGCAAATATAGATGCCATACTGTATTTTTTTTTACATTTTATAATGAACTTATTACTGTAAAAACAAAACAATCTCATTTATCACAGAATTACACTAGTTTTTGCCGATGTTTTCTGCATAGTCTTCTATCCATTGAGTGACAGTATTTACATTTTTAAAAATCTGATTCATTTACGACACTTATTTGAAACATTTCATTTCAGTTAATTTTTTTGTTGCTCAAGCAATAAAACAAACAAAACAGGTTATGTCAAAATAGAAATGAGGATCTCTGTTAAAAGCATTCGCCCCAATCCTCTTCATCATTTCCCCTCTTCTCTCAGATGGGATGGTGGGCCAAATCAATGGTTACAATGGGCCAACTTGGACCAGGGGGGCCTACTTAGGGCATCTCTGCTTTATAGGCACTCAATAAAATACCCATTATAAAAACCATAGAGTGTAACTGTGAGTTGTTTTTTTTACAAGACTTTTGAACTTTTATGACCTAAAAGAGGAAAAAAATCCACTTTATGAATTTATGATTTAAAAAAATCATAATGAAATAATATAATTCATGTCAATGAAGTTACCATATATATATATATATATATATATATATATATATATATATATATATATATATATATATATATATATATATATATATATATATATATATATATATATTTATTTATTTATTTATTTATTTATTTATTTATTTATTAATATGCTCTTATTTAAACACTTCCTGACCACAAGATTTCCTACACCTTACTGTGATAAACATGGTCTGATGAAGAGCCATGTGCTTGAAAAGTTGCACATTTTGTGTCAGCCTTTTTAATTGAATAAATGTGCATTTTTGGAGCTTTGGTGTTGCCGCCTTTTGAATATATATTTTGCACTTTTTGTGTGTTTTGGCTAAGTACCTAGTTAAAAGTAATGTGCACGCTTTTGAACATTTTTTTTCCTGATAAAGTGTTAGCCAATAAAACTTAGATGTTCTTTGAGGATGTCGAATGTTTCTTTTTTAACAGGGTTGCTTGTAAATTTTACAATACATTTTAAAAAGACAATTTAAGAGATTACATTTACTGAGAAACGCTCTCGTTTTTGGAGATAGTAACTACCCAGGTAGCAAAGAATTCTCACACTTTTTTCATTTATTTATTTATTTGACCATAGCCTCACTCTTTTTATTCATTATTTTGCCGCAGCTTCGCTCTTTTTGTTTATTTTCTGCTGACTTGACCTTTTTTTTTAGTTTTTATTGTTAAGACATATAATATTGTTTTGATTATTTATGTAGGTGTACATATTTTATTTTTATTTTTTGTGTGACCGCCGTTACAAAGGACTGGATATCTATAAAGAATTTTGCACAGAATATATTCTCAGATATTGCAGGAAAGGACAATGTGATGTTTTAACGAATAGTGTTGTAGATTTAGCATTTGAAGTTCTAAGGCAGCTGTTTCCTTGAATAAAAAAAAAACATGGTAGTGTCATGATGTCAAATGAATTGGAAATGACGTTATTTTAATATAGTCAGTCGTGAACTGAGGTGGGCCGGACTAAAGCTTGAAACTCCAGGTCTGAAAAGGAGTCTCATTCCGGCCCTGGTGACATTAACATACAGTTGGTCAGAGTTATTAGCCCCCTTTTGATTTTATTTTATTTTTTCAAATATTCTCAAATGATGTTTAACAAAGGAAATTTTCACAGTATGTCTGATAATATTTTTTCTTCTGGAGAAAGTTTTATTTGTTTTATTTCGGCTAGATTAAAAGCAGTTATTAATTTTTTAAAAACCATTTTTGGGACGAAATTATTAGCCCCTTTAAGCTATTTTTTTTTAATAATCTACAGAACAAACCATCGTTATACAATAACTTGCCTTATTACCCTAACCTGCCTAGATCACCTTATTAATCTAGTTAAGCCTTTAAATGTCACTTTAAGCTGTATAGAAGGGTCTTATGTAAAATATCAAGTAAAATATTATTTACTGTTATTATGGCAAAGATAAAATAAATCCGTTATTAGAAATTAGTTTTTAAAACTATTATGATTAGAAATGTGCTGAAACAATCTTCCCTCCATTAAACAGAAATTGGTGAAAAAAAAAATAAACAGGGGCGCTAATAATTCAGGGGGGCTAATAATTCTGACTTCAACTGTATCTGGCCCAGTTTAGGACCAGTTATGGGTTATTAACTTGGCTGAAACTTGGTCCCAGATATGGTCCATGTTTGGCCCTTGTCTGGAAGCCAGAATTGGTCCATTCATGTACCGTAATTTACTGCAGCATGTGGGCCAAGCAAAAGCTGATTGTGTGAGCCAGAGAAATTTTGCTATGTGGGTAGAAATGTCCTCCATTTCACACATTCAACACATTCTCTAAATAAAAATATACTACAAAAGCCCAACCATCATGTTGCTGATGGTTATCGTAGTAACAGTATCTCATTACAGGCACGGGTGTTGGGTAGAGTAAATAGGTACAAATTACTTTCTGAAACATAACCTTTACACATTTTATGTATTAATGTATTCAAGCATAAATTTTGACTATAGATACAGAGCATATCAAAATGACCCATTTAGAAGGGGAACAAATTTAATTTAAGAGGTAACCTTTTAGTTTAGAGGGTTCTTTCTGGAAAAAAATATTATATTACCTAAACAAACAGTAATAAACCTAAAAATGACATATCATGGGACTCCCAGGTTTTTAAGAATGAGTTATCAAGAAAACAAACAACATTTGTAAAAGCCATTAGACATGATGTAGACAAAATATGGCTTTTTTGTTCAGTATTTATTTAGTGATGTGCTTATGTGCTACAGGCTTCTTCATCACTGGTGAAGAGGAGATCCCTGTCCTGTCACCAGGGCTTTCTGTCTGTCCCGGCTCAGCTTGTTCATCATGGTCTATTTAGACGCAGCGGCCAGTGCAGAGAATACCCTGTCTCTGAGCAATCACAGCCCTCAGACTCAAACCCCGAGGGTCCTCATGCGAACTGGACACTGCCGGGCTTTATTTCCATCTTCCTACCGGAGTTTCCTCACAGGTTTACTAGACAAGTGGATTTACAGGTACATCACTGGCACAAGCCATAATAAATGTTTCCACTTTTTACAGTGGAAAATTTTTTTTATGTTTCTTTGGTGCTTGACCAAAGCTAATCACATCTAAAACAATAGTTTGTTATGACATAAATATATATATTGATATATATATATGTCATGTATATAAATAATTATTTTTTATTGCCTTCAGAACAAACCACTGATTGCCTAATTCCAATGACCTAATTAACCTAGCTTGCCTTGTTAACCTAACTAATCTAGTTAAGCATGTCTGTCATCATTGCAAAAACAAAAGGAATAGGTTTTTAGTTATTACTTAAAAAAATTATCACGTTTAAAATTGGGTTTAAAAAAACTGTTTGTTAAACAACTCTTGGGAAATATTTGACAAGCAGTTAAAATTTCACAGGAGGTTTGTCTTCAACTGTATGTACTGTTTAATGATGCACATAAAATGCATTAAAGAGCCTCATTTCAGGAGTAGTCCCTTTAAATCCTTTGATTGAGGTCTGTTTTACCTTTATTGACTAATGATTCTTTTCTCAGATCCTTGGTTTTATAGCTAAAGGCTCGTTTGGTCCAATCCTGAAGGTGAAGGATGTGTCTAAAGAGGAGACCTATGCTGTTAAGGTGATTGTTCAGAATCCTCAGTCATTTAATGCGATATATCCAGCCCACTGCACCTCCTTTAATCCAGACTTTCTGCTGTCACTGTCGGTTAGGTTTTACCCAAAGCTGCGGTTCTGAGACACGGAGTCCTCCAGCAGTCCAAGGAGGAGGTGATCATTCAAGTGAGTCACACTGTCGGCCGGGGCTTGTCTGATCTGGTTCTAACTGCATCCACAGCGCCTACTTCCTCTCAGTCAATGCCCTATGAGCGTGCATGCACACATTTCATACTTCAATTGTTTTTGTTCGCGCAGTTGCCATTAGGATTTACTCCCACTTGCTCTCAGCGCCTGCGCTCATGTCCATCTCATTTTGTGTTGTCTACTGTTATGTTGTAGCGACAAGTCAGACATCCTTTCCTGCTCAGTCTGCGGGACTGTTGGCAGAGCCAGAGCAATCTCTTCATCAGTGAGTCACAGCACATACTAACTCTCATTCTGCTTATTTTCATGTGTTTCCAAGCAGGGGGCTTCACACTGGGGTTCGGGGGTCTTTACAGTTTTTACTCAATCGCTTTGGCTCAATTCCTGATTGAATTTTTTATTTTTCAAAACAAGAATTATTAGCTTATCGTTTACTTCAGATTGGCATTTCTTATTGATTTAAGCAAACTGCTTTGGTACACGTGTGCAAACAGTAAGTACAATTGTCATTTAACAAGGATCAAAACATTTCATTCAATTTATCTTTATTTTTCTAGCGCTTTTACAATGTAGATTACCATAGAACTTAACATAGAAGATTATAGTAAATTGAAACTGTGTCAGTCCAGTTTTCGGAGTTTAAGTTCAGTTCAGTTCAGTGTGGTTTAATTTTCACTGCTGAGAGTCCAAACACTGCAGAGCAAGCCACAAACCAAACAAGCAGTGGTAGTTCTAGCTTGAATAGCACCCTGGGCGAACCACCCCATATACCCCCCCACCCGGAAGGTTACATCTGGTTAATATAAAAAAGGACCATTAAACATGTACATTTTTTAAAAAGTTTATTTTTTTACCCAAACTTTGGGTAAAATCTGGACAAAACCAGAACTGGAATTATTAAAAAAAATATTAATATTTATTATAAATAAAATTATTATTATTACTGTTGGGGTTGTTGTTGGTGTACAATTATTATTCTAAATGAATAACAGAAATCAATCCTAAATATAACTAGAAAACAATGTAAAGACAAAACTGGACTGATATGCTAAGATCACTTGAGAAATCTTTTGCATGAATATTCATTTTGACAATTCTATAAATTCCAAACAATATGTTTTTTCATAAAATTATCCGTTCATCTTAGACTCGACGCAACGCCGAGAATTAATGTAGTCTTTACTTCCCTGACTCTTTATCTCTACTTTCTACTTCATGGCCATGCTTAGTCAAAATAAAATCATTCATTCATTCATTTTCTTTTCGTCTCAATCCCTTTATTAATCTGGGGTCGCCACAGCAAAATGAACCGCCAACTTATCCAGCATATGTTTTAAGCAGCGGATACCCTTCCAGTTCCAACCCATCTTTAGGAAACATCCATACACACTTATTCACACTCATACACTACAGACAATGTAGCCTACCCAATTCACCTGTACCGCATGTCTGGACTATGGGGGAACCTGGAGCACCCGGAGGAAACCCATGCGAACGCAGGGAGAACATGCAAACACCACACAGAAACGCCAACTGACCCAGTCGAGGCTCAAACCAGTGACCTTCTTGCTGTGAGGCGACAGCACTATACTGCGCCACTGCATCACCCCAATAAAATCATCATCATATCATATAAACTTCAGTTTCGACAACAAGCAAAACTCGCTGCGTGTCGACACCTCGTGTCAAAGTATGAGCATGAGCGGTGTGTGTTTTATCGGCATGCATGTAAACAACTGGGATTCATCCTGGGATCAAGAGCAGCATGGGTGAGGTGCGCGGGGATGGTTCTAAGTGTGCATCCATCAGTTTGCTTGCACCAGTATTGTTTTTGTTGCACAGAGAAAAACAAACTTGTGCTTACAACAGACGCCAAATATGAATGGCCTCTAACATCTTTATCCTGGGATTAGCCTACCACTCTTGGAATTAATACACTTGCATAAAATAAATTGTATCTCAAAGCATACTGAGGCACTTTTGATTTTAGCGGAGCACGTTTTTGTTTTTTCTTTCTTTTGCACCATCCCCCCTTCCTGCCACAGCAAGATGCCGCCCTGGGCGATCACCCATATTGCCCAATGCCTAAATCAGCCAGTGCATGCAAGCCAGTGGAGACAGCGGCGAGGAACAAACTTCACCAACTGACGATGTGAAGAGAAACCAGGCTCAGCTGGCACATTTCTCCTATGGCCAAACTCCTTGTGCAGAGCTGCAGTCTAGGCGCCGGAGGCTGGAGAAAGCTGGACGTCCATCGTGGAGAAGCTGCAGGGAAGAGAGTGTTCACCGGCTGGTGTACAGGCTGGCCCTTTAAGATCAATGCGAAGACTCGTCTGTCACTGGGGTCTTACAGGAATCAGTCTCATGCTCTCCACTCCTCCATGACCACCACAAAAGCTGCTCAGGATACGGCCTGATCCAGAATTGTGGAAACCTCAGGAATAATAATAAAAAAAAAACAGACTAACATGAGCACAGATGCCTTTCAAATTATAATGTCTTTTGGTAAATGTTGTCAGCTCAGGTTGCCCTAAATAATGCAGACTTACAATCCTTTAGAGGATTTGGATTTCAAAAGTGTTTGTGTTTTATGTATACTAATGCTAGTTTCATCAAAGTTGTCCAAAACTATTCAGCAACACCCATTCTTGTCTTACAGTAGGACAATATTCACTTCAAATGTTGACTACTGTATTTGTAGATGCAATCACTATCTTTTTTTATAGGATAGATTAGGATAAACTTTATTTGTCTTGAGAAAATTTGTCTTGGGCAAAAAGGAGCTACAACATTGCTCTAAACAGACAGTAAAATAAATAAAACAAACAGAACAATTAAGAACAAACAATTAAGAACATACATTGTTTAAAAGATAAGACTGTATATAAATATTCATTCATTCATTCATTCATTTTCTTGTTGGCTTAGTCCCTTTATTAATCCGGGTTCGCCACAGTATGAACCGCCAACTTATCCAGCAAGTTTTTAAGCAGAGGATACCCTTCCAGCCGCAACCCATCTCTGGGAAACATCCACATACACATTCACACACACACACACACTCATACACTACGAACAATTTAGCCTACCCAATTCACCTGTATACTGCACGTCTTTGGACTGTGGGGGAAACCGGAGCACCCGGAGGAAACCCACGCGAAGGCAGGGAGAACATGCAATCTCCACATTGGAACGCCAACTGAGCCGAGGTTCAACCCAGCGACCTTCTTGCTATGAGGCGACAGCACTATACCTACTGCGCCACTGCTTCGCCCCTTGTATATAAATATGAAATATATTAAACACAGAACCCAGTCAGGTGCTAATGTTCTACATATGCACTGTTATTGGTAGAGTTCAACAGTTTTATCAAGGTAGGTACAAACAAAAGCTTCAGTCTATTGGTTTTACACATTCTCAGTCTTTTTCCTGATGGTAACAGCTGATATTCACTGAAAAGAGGATGTTTGTTTATGAGAATGAAGAACATCCAAAATCCTAAACTGCAGCATCATGCTTATGGCAATTGGAAGACTTGTAATCTCTGGCGTGACCAACAAGAGTGACAGGTTGTTCACCAAGAATATTCCTTTCATGGATGTTCATTTTTTTTAGTCTTTTCTGCATTTGTGGTAACATAAGAAATATGAAATGTACAATACAGTAATTGAACACGCAAGATTGCACTTTACATGTGATACATTCTTCAAAAATGAATGCACTTTATAAGCACAAATGTTCCTATATATTTTTTCTATGTACTATTGACTCTTCTTAACAAATATATGATTTTTTAAAGCTTAATTTCCATGGTTGCCTGTCATGGATGAAAGAAGTAATCAAAAAAGCTAATCATTTTGAGCAGTGCAGCTTACACCATGACAAATACACTTTATGTTTTGGTTGCCTTGGCCAAATTACTGACACAATAAGTAGGTTTTACAGCATGAATGAAATGTTTTTGGGCGAGTAACTACATTTTGCAGATGTGCTATAAAATACTGAAGTTCCAGCAAACTGTTTTAAGATTTGCTAACACAGTTTAGAGAATGTTAAGGCTGTTTCGAAAAATGTGCCAAAGCAATTGAGAAAAATTGTAACATATACACTGTATGTCAAAGATAACCATCTAAAAATGTGTCAAATGTATAATAGTTTCTATTTTTTGCTAAAAAAAACTAATTAACGTTTCCTATAGGATGCTTTACAATATTATATCTGTGTGTATAAATTAGATTAGTCAGAACTGAAGCCAAATCTGGAGCTGATTTAACAAAATAACTTGTGACAAAGGTCAAAAACTAGTACATTCAACAACAAAAAACTATACATTTTAGTTAAATATTTGTCATTTGTAATTTTCCCCCAATATTTTACATGAATTTAAATGTATTATCTATCTAGTTCTAAAGATGTTTGGTGACTAAAATATTATTGTAATAAATATGTCTGTTTAATTAACCTGTTTTGTTGAAATGCACCAAAATATGTTACCATTATTTCAGTATTTACTGAAATATGGATAAAAATATTCCTTTTCAAAATGGGGTGCACTCATTTATGTTGAGCACTATATAACTATATATAGCAGGGGTGACGCGGTGGCGCAGTAGGTAGTGTTGTCACCTCACAGCAAGAAGGTCACTGGTTCAAGCCTTGGCTGGGTCAGTTTGCGTGGGTTTCCGGGTGCTCCAGTTTCCCCCACAAGTCCAAAGACATGCAGTTCAGGTGAATTAGGTAAGCTAAAATTGTCCCATAGCTGAGGCTCGAACCAGCAACCTTCTTGCTGTGAGGCGAAATCTTTCTTTCTTTTTAAGAGATTGTCATGGTTATAGCTATATAATCATATTGACATGAGCAGAAATGAACGGATTCAGAAACTAACAGAAGCATCAGAAAATATGGAATAGGCTACCATAAAAGGTGCAAATTTGACACAGTTTTGCGATCTTAAAAGGCTTCATAGACTTAAAATAAAATGGTCTATTGTTGCACAAATTTGTGAGCATGCAGCATTATGTATTGCAGACAGACCATTAATGACGATACTATCATTTACAAATTACAGTAGCACCGCCAGTATTTTGGAGCCATAGTATCAGATTCTACCATAGTACCTGTGAACTGTGCAACCCTAATATATATATTTATACGTTTCATTTTTCTGATTCATTTCTGATTAGTTTAATATTGTATATAGTTTCATTTATTAATAATGGAATTAAATTAAGTTCATTTAATTACTTATTACAATGACGTATATATATTTAACTTTAAATGATACATTTTTTTACTTTGCATCTTTTTAAAATGACATGCTTTTAAATGACATTTTTCCAAATTGCAAATAAGTCTTTATTCATGAAAAAATGATAAATAAATAGTCTAAATTATAATTACTTCAAATAAAATATATTTGTTATATTATAAATATACAGTTTATATATTTGACATATTTTATAAAGGCTTCAAACAGTAAAGTTATTTGAACATTTGAAAATATTTGTAATGGTAAAGTCTAGATTGGATACAAAGATAGTTGGAAGTGCGATATGCACATCAATATAGCAGCATTTTTTATGACACTGTATAACAATAATGAATATTTTTACAGTACTGTGACGGTTGGGTTAAGGGATAGGGTAGGGGTAAATGTTAAAAAAATACAATTCATTGGGTAATTTAATAGATAGCATAAATAATACACAGTACAACTACTGTTTTTACATTACTGTGACGTTTGGGTTTAGGGTTGGGGTGGACGTTAAAAAATACAATAAATGGGAAATCTAATAAATAATATACATAATTTTCGTTAATTTCTGACCACAACCAAATCTGATCTAGCAACAACCATTTGAAACCATGCTGCGAAATACAGGGAGGTTTGGGGGGATTGACTGAGGTACATATCAGTTCTTTAATACTGAGAAATATTCACTCTATTTATTTTAAATAATAATATTCAAAATTAAAATATTAGATAATATAAATATACATTTGATCACCCCTATTAATTGGAAGAAATTGGAAGGTCTAGGGCACCGATAGACATTGTGTTCACAAGACTCCTAAAATACTTGTTTGTAAAGTCAAATTAGATGCATAATAATATTTGTAGTCTGACCTACTGTAACATCTGAAATGGCTAATCAGAGAATACTGTGTCAGAATACACTAAATATCCCCCCAAATGCTGTAAATTTAAATACGTTTTATTAATAAACTAGAAGTGATTAAAAATAAAAACATGACAGAAGCATGTATTAAACAAACTAACTGAAAAAGGTTGACCCCCTGATCGTCAGTGTATAATCCACACACTGTTTGAAACCCCTTCTTTAATAGAAAATTTGTAACAAAAAGTCGTTTATTTATTGTGCCAAACTACATTATTAATTCTATCCAATTTATCTGTTTCGTTTGATATATTTTCATACCTAAACCTTTCCCTCCGTGCATTCTTCCCTCCACATCCATTGGCCTGTGTGATTTCAGAGACTTAATCATTGTGTTGTGTCTTCTTCCTTTTTGACGTCTCCCTCAGTGACCTTGTGACAGACTGAAATTGTGTCACGGTCTTGTGATTATGTTCAGAAATGCCGTCTCCAGACCACATCAAGCCCGAATGAAGTTTGATCTAGAAAAGGTGGTCTGAAGGTCAGGCAATCAGTCTGCTGTCACATCGTCTCAGTCATGTTTTCTGCCTTGTGTGTGTGTGTGTTGTGTTCAGTGTGTGATTACTGTAGCACTGGAGATCTCTACACTTACTGGACACTGAAGGGCTTGTTTGAGGAGACGGACGTTCGAGTGTTTGCTGCTGAATTGGGCTCTGCTTTAGGTGAGTTTTGGTATTCAATGTCCATTCAAGCCAGGCATTGTTCATAATCTAGGGGTATGAGTAATTTTGGGCTTGCCTATATACAGTATACAGTGCTGTGTAAAAGCTTTAGGCCAACATTAAATCTGTTTTTTTTACTGACTATATAATGAATATATGTGACCCTTTTTCACAAAACCAGACATAAATGTAATTGTTTTGTCAATTTTCTTTAAATTGAGATTTATATAGGGTGAATAAATTATCTTTCAGTTGATGTATGTTTTGTTAGAATAGAAGTTAGATTACAGTTGGAATAATTTTGGCTTAATTGTTGGAGACAGGCTGCTTGCCTTGGTTTTTGAGCTGCATTTCTACCAGTGTTGTTAGCAATATTGTCTGAATTGGAGAAATTATGAATGTTGAAAAGATTCCTTCTGGGAAGGACTTTAGTGGATAGATAGACAGACAGACAGACACAGACAGACAGACAGACAGACAGACAGACAGACAGACAGACAGACAGACAGACAGACATAGACAGACAGACAGACAGACAGACAGACAGACAGACAGACAGACAGACAGATAGATAGATAGATAGATAGATAGATAGATAGATAGATAGATAGATAGATAGATAGATAGATAGATAGATAGATAGATAGATAGATAGATAGATAGATAGATAGATGAAAAAATGTGTGTGGAAGATGGATGGATGGATGGATAGAAAGAAAGTAAGAAAGAAAGAAAAGAAAAGAAAAGAAAAAAGAAACCAGCTGATGATTTAAAGACAGTCATGAGTGACCTCCACAGTGTCCAGACCTGAATATTATAGAGGCTATATGAAATCACCTGGATAGAAAATAAAGATATGACACAAACCTAAAGAAGAACTCTGGAAAGTGCTAAAATAATCCTGACATTACACAGCACATTATTTCAGTAAATGTCAGGACAATTAGAGCAAAGCAGTTCAAGCTGTGCTTGGTGCCAAGTGAAGTCACTTTAAACATTGGCTTTAGCTTGAAGAGGAAATGTTATGCTGTTTTTTGTACATCCTTGATTTTCTGTTTGTTTTAATAAAGAGACTGATTGATTATCTTTTGTGCCAAAGTGTTAGGCCAACAATGCTAGTATAGAGCTTAGAACTTTTGCACAGTACTGTATGTACAGTCAAACCCTTAGCGTGACTGTATATTGATGCTTTACTTGATTTTAAAAGGAAACACTGTTTTTTCATGCAGCTGTCAAGTTTGACATATTGAGCTTTTTAGCTTTTCATGTCAAAATGTTCTCAGTCTTATGTAATGGAGACCTCCGAAATAAATTTACATTCATTCATTTAGCAAATGGTTTCATCCAAAGCTACTTACAAATTAAGATAAAAGTTGAACAAAAATTGACTTGTTCGTTTTTTCCCCTCCAAGCAAACTGAGAGAGCAATCTCAGAATTGCACAATGTTTTTTAAGAAGCATGTGCTGCTTATAAAGTGTCTGCTGCATATGGAGAGGAGAGAGTGTGTTACCTACACGTGGTTTGTCAAGCCCACTCACTTGTGTGAAGCACACTCAGAATTGTACTGTATTTTTTAAATAAACAAGATGTTAGGTGCATACGGAGAGAAGTTTTGTTGCATTTCATCAATTTATGTTGCTTGATTTCAATTACATTACATATTTTTAAAGAATTTAAAGAAAAAAAAATCTTTTTAGCAGCACTTACTCCATACCTCACAGTTTTATTTATGTCTGTGCACTGAAGTCGTTTTTATCTTTATCAAAGGATTTGTTCATACTTAATTTGGTTGATTATATACAACCTTTGATTCTACAAAAATAAATATTGTAAATTCTCCTTTGTAAAAAAACTATATCATTTGACTAATATTCATAAAAAAAAGAAACAAAATGTGTACAGCTGACTTCATTCAGTGTTTAGATTTTTGTGCTAGTAAAGTATGCAATTTAGTGCAGATTTAATAAAACGATGCTCACTTGCATATGCTGCATATATATTTAAATTTGACATCATAGATCATGGCGAGGCAGTGGCGTAGTAGGTAGTGCTGTTGCCTCACAGCAAGAAGGTTGCTGGGTCGCTGGTTCAAACCTCGGCTCAGTTGGCGCTTCTGTGTGGAGTTTGCATGTTCTCCCTGCCTCTGCGTGGGTTTCCTCCGGGTGCTCCGGTTTCCCCCACAGTCCAAAGATGCGGTACAGGTGAATTGGGTAGGCTAAATTGTCTGTAGTGTGTGGATGTTTTCCAGAGATGGATTGCGGCTGGAATGGCATCAGCTGTGTAAAAACTTGCTGGATAAGTTGGAGGTTCATTCTGCTGTGGCGACCCTGGATTAACAAAGGGACTAAGCCGACAAGAAAATGAATGAATGAATCATAGATCATTTTTAATTCAACAAACTTTGCAATTATTAAACTTATCAACTATGGAAATATGGTGATAAATTGCGTTAACATTCGGATACATACAAAGTGTTGTTTTGTATCAACGACAGTCAAAGTTGTCTCCATTTTCTTTTTCAATTCCAGGTTTTCTGCACAACTTTGGAATAATACACAGAGATGTGAAGGTATGTTACTTACAACAATGTGTTTTTATTGAGATTCATTCAAGATTCTGACAGAAAATTGTAACAAGCTGAGCATGAAACATTTTTATAGAGGAAAATTAGACTTTTTATGATTTTACAAGTTTCTGTTTAAATAAATAACAAAATCCATCCTATAAACGGCACTACTATGTCTTAAACAGATGGAGAACATTCTTCTGACTGATAAAGGTAAAGCTGATCTAACATGGATGGATGGATGGATGGATGGATGGATGGATGGATGGATGGATGAATGGATAGAAAAAGTGTATGGAGGACAGATGGGTGGATGGATGGATGATTAAAAGAAAAAGTATGTGGAGGGGGGAAGGATGGATGGATAAATGGAAAAAGTGTGTGGGGGGATAGATGGATGGAAGAATGAATGGATAGAAAAGGTGTGTGGAGGGACAGATGGATAGAAATAGTGTGTGGGGGCTGATGGATGGATGGAAGGATGGATGGATAGAAATAGTGTGTTGGGGCGCAGATAGATGGATTGATGGATGGATGGATGGATGGATGGATAGAAAAGGTGTGTGGAGAGACTATAGGTGGATGCATGGATGGAAAAAAGTCTGTGGGGTGCAGATGGATGGATGAATGGATGGGTGGATAGAAAAGGTGGATGGAGGGACAGATAGATGGATGCATGGATGGATAGATAGAAAAAAGTGTGTGTGTGTGTGTGTGTTGGGGGGTAGATGGATGGATATAAATAATGTGTGTGTGTCGGGAAGGGGGGGGGGTGTTCAATGGATTGATGGATGGATGGATGGATGGATGGAGAGAAAAAAGTGTGTGTGTGAGGAGGGGACAGATTTAAGTGTACATTTCAAATGCCCATCTGCACTGTAAACCCTGCTTTAGCTCTTTGCGTAGAGAATTCTGGAATAGAAATGTTCATGCTGTGTCATTTAGGTCACCTCCGCCTGACTGATTTTGGTCTGTCTCGCCGTCTCGAGCGTGGGGAACGAGCTTTTACTATCTGCGGCACAATACAGTACATGGGTGAGAGACACCCGCTTAGAGCAGACACTGTGTTTACCATTAAGTAGATCTGGCAGTAACTAAAGACATATGTAGCCCAAAGCAGATGAGCTATTTCTGTCCAAAACGTCTATGTAATTACATGATCTGGTCATTAAACAGCTCCTGAGGTCCTGAGCGGGGGTCCGTACAGCCATGCGGCAGATTGGTGGTCTCTTGGGATTCTTCTCTACGCATTAGCCACTGGAGAGGTAGCACAAACCATAATGAAGATTATACTTGATAAACGTGTCCTAAAATCACCTCTGAAGAAAAGTCTGGTTGCCAGCAACGTGTAGAAAGAGTGACAGGCGGCTTGTAGAAACCCATGTGTGTGTTTTCTCTATTGTTGTGATTTGTAGTTTCCTCTGGCAGCAGAAGTAGATCACGCTGTAATGCTGAGCAGAGTCAGTGAGGGCCTGTATGAGATGCCTGTGAGCCTCAGTCCTGCTCTGGCCTTCCTGCTTATAGAGGTGAGCTGCTACGCACATCATAACCATTATAACCACTTGTATAACTCTCTTCACAACAACACAGACACAGGCTGGTTCTTCAGAACATCCGTTTTATATTTACAAGTTGTCCTCTTAATATCCTTTGACGCAGTGAGAACTGTATTGGTAAACGAACAGTACAAGCACATCAGAAATTATACAATGGTTGTCGCATACATTAAACAAGCAAACAAATACCTCATTGGTTGCTTATCATAAAATAAGGATGCTTGTGTTACTAAAATCTTCTTTACTGTCCTTTTGACCTAAGACAGCTGTGTCTTTAAGCCTAAACACATTTACTTACCACAGCATTGAGATGCATCCGCTCATCATCAGTCTATCTGGCGACATGTCACTCACAACACATCATTTTCATTAAAGTGTCACGCTCCTACATCCAATTTCTTAAAGGAAACCACATGCAGTTATTCATTTATTCTCCATCGGCTTAGTCCCTTTATTAATCAGGAGTCACCACAAGAAGTTTCTGTTTTCTGTTTCCCAGAGATGGGTTGCAGCTGGAAGGGCATATGCTGCGTAAAACATATGCTGGATAAGTTGGCGGTTCATTCCGCTGTGGCGTCCCCTGATAAAAGGGACTAAGCCAAAGGATAATGAATGAATGAATGAATGAATGAATGATGAGTCGAACTTATAATATACTTAGAATATTAAGTAAAGATCATGTTGCATGAATATATTTTTATACATTTTCTTCCATTAAATATATACATAATATACGTAATTTGACCAATTTTGAAAGCTATTTTCTCTGAATTTAGGTTTTGTTGAACCGTCAGATTCCAGATTTTTAAACAGTTGTATGTCTGTCAAATATTGTCTAATCCTAACAAACCATACTCAATGGAAAACTCTCAGATGATGCATCTCAGTTTCCAAACATTTAATCTTATGACAGTTTATAAATAAAACATTTAAAGATCTAAACTTGCTATAATATCAAAACCATGTTTCGAACTAAGTTCTAAATTTGAAGTTGATGTCACAAATTTAAAGTTTTTGTTTAGGCACTTCACCAAAAATATCCACTGGGTGACACTTGATTGGTCAGGATTAGTGGTGTAGCTGATCACAAATCCCACGATTTGGATCATACTGCAGTTTTTGAGTCACATATCGCACCATTTTTCAGATCAGCAAAAAAAGGAAGGAGAACAATTTTATTTGCTTTCCATTCATTGCAAAAACATTACTGCAAGAAACTTTGGATCTCTATCCATCTTGATTTTAATTCAGCTCATTGAAGGATTAATTAACATATAAAAATTGTCATCAATTGAGATCCTGACCTTTAATGATCAATTGTGCAGGTTTACACTGACTGCATTCATGCAAGCTAAACAAGTAGGATCACACCCCTAGTTAGGAGTAGTAAAATAATATGAATCTTGACAAAATGGTTTCTACAAGATACTTTTAAAATGTTTAAGCTTTCAATTAATGTCTGTTTTAGGTTGATATCTGATTTATTTGTCATTCGGTTTGAATAACAGCTCCCTTTTCCTATTTCTTTACATCTATCTTAACTGCTTCAAATTCAATTCAGTAATGTGATTGTAATATTAGGCACAAGTTTAAAGGGATAGTTCAGCCAAAAATGAAAATTTCCTCACATTTCCTCACACTCAGATTGTAATAAAAGTTTGTTTAGCACCATTGAACAAAAAAGAAGCTATTCTGAAGAATGTTGGGGAAAACAGCTATTGGCATCTATAGCAGGAACAAAACACTATAGAAGTCAGTGTCTTTTTTTTTTCAAACATTTTTGTTTCAACAGAAGAAAGATGCTCAAACAGGTTTGGACCAAGTGGAGGATGAGTCATTAGCCCCTTTCACACATACAGACCTTTCCGGTAAATAACCAGCAAAGGTCTGTATGTGTAAACAGGCTGTCACGAGAGGGTTTCACAAAAACAAGAAAAGATCCATGTGCAGCAAAACAAATTTATTAAACTAAACAACGATGATCCAAAAAACTAGCAGACAAGAAACGAGCAGAAATCCAAAACATTGAGATGATACAAAGTGATCAAACAAACAAACCAAATCAAGAGGAACAAAAATACAAATCAAAAATCCAAAGGCAACTAAAAAACAAACGAACAGAGATTATAAAGACAGGACTCAATTAAACAAACAAGGAACAGCTGAAAACAATAAGTGATCACGTGTGCAGAGATACAAGCAAAAACAAAACAAATGCTAGTGCCCTCAAGTATCCACATGAGGGCACTACAACAGGTGTGACACAGGCCCTTTTTGAAAATACCGGTAAATTCGTTTCGGCTATTTTCCGAACAATGTAACATTACCGATAATTTGCCGGAATGCTGCTCTGTGTGAACGCAGAAGGAAGATTGCTGGAAAGAGCGCGTTCACGTCTAGAACATGCTGACGTGAGACGTCTACTTTAGCCAATCAGAACAGTCAGACGCATTCACGTCCGAGCGGTTTATGAAAATAAAAGCCTTTGAATATTTTTCCAGACACATCTAGCTGCTAGATTTGTAACGGAGGCCAGCTAGTGTGGGTTGTGCAGGTAAACCTCACTCCTCTGACCTCTAAAGGTGGTCTAGCGACAAACGCTAGAGGCCATGGTCTTTAGCCTCCTTGGTAGAGCAACCGGTTTGATACCAGCTCGGAGCGGGTTGGGTGGCGTAAGACCAGCGGGGTTACAGATTTTTGTCAGATAAGGTTTATATGTTCCTTCTTAAAGCCAACTTTGTAAATAATTATCAATCAGATGCTTATGATAAGCCGTTGTTTGTTTATCTTCAAGCTCTGCTTCCATTAGTTGCTTGATGAGTCTTGTGTGCCCGTGAAGGAGCTGGTGAGTGCCAGCACACACACATATCATGTACATCTCGACATGCGATAGTGTTTCTCCATATGTTTTCATCGAAGTTGTTCACAATACTTATCCATCCACAGAGTTTGTAATGTTGTCAAATGTTTACAAATACAAGCGCAGCGTTTAGAGCTCATTTCTGGTTAAAGATTTCAACGGCATCTGTAACGGCCTTGCCTGTGTGCACAGCGCTTTTTTTGAATTTACCAGTAAAGTTGCTCCGGAAATTTTCTGGATATTTACTGGTATCACTGAGTGAAAGGGGCTAATGATGACAGAATTTACATGATTTGGGTGAACTAGCCCTTTAACAACTGTTCTGTACACAAATATTTGGAAACTCTCTGACCTTGTTTGAATGCAGCTCCTGTGCAAGATCCCCACTCGTCGCCTGCGCTGCCTGGAGCACTTTCAAAGCCACAAGTTCTTCCATGGCATGTCTTTTGATTCCCAGCTGCTTCAGAGAAATCCCATTGAGCCGATCCTTGCACTGAAGACCCACCCTGACCTTCGGGAAAGGTCAATGCGAGGTTTATCCCTAGACCTGCTTCAGAATTTTGAGTGTGACCTGCTGAACTCTCCCTCCACCCCTACAGATTTATCCCCTACCTTGATGAAGATTCAGGTGAATGAATATAAAACAGAGTCTCAAACAAAAGCAACTGGAACTAATTCTGCTTGAAAAAGGTTGAGACACTTTTTCCTCTCCATTATGGTACATGCATCGTCCCTCCAAAAAAAAAAAAAAGACACAAGGCACATATGAATTAATCGGTGTAGCTAGCCAATCAAAAACTAGGATTTTTTGCTACTGTTTTTGTGCAGTTCAATTTAGAAATTAGGAGTAAATATTCAGAAAGTGGAACCTCCATTTTGAGTATTTTTCTAATAGTAGAACTTCTGGGTTTTGTACATTTAGGTTCTTTGTATATTTTCTTGTTTTTTTAGATTATTTTTATATTTAAAGCAGTTACAGCGATGCCCTGGTTACAATGATATCATGAGAGTGATAATATTAACAAAATGATAATTACAAAGATAAAGAATAAAGTATTGAATTAATTAATAATGAAATTAATTAATGGATTATTCAATGAATGAATAAATAAATAATAATTAAATTAATTAATGTAAACTAATTCCGTTGTTTTGCAATCAGTGTTTTGAGTAAATGCATTGAAATACTTGACTTCTGAATGAATCAATGTTTTGAATGAATCAACTGAGAGACTAATTCAGTTACTTGTAAGATATGTCACTTGTTTTGTTTCTGAATGAATCAGCGTTTTAAATGAATCAGAGATAATCATTCAGTATGTGCTCCTGAAGACTTGTCATTTGTCTAATTCTTGAATGAATCTGTGTTTTGAATGAATCAGTTAAGATAATAATTTAGTGTTTGCCTATGAAGTTGTCATTTGTTTCACACCTGAATGAATCAGTTGAGTGAATTAGATAATGTCTTTCCTAAACTATCACTTGCTTTGCTTCTGAATGAATCAGTGATTGGCATGAATCTTGTCTTTTGATTCTCTCCTGAATAATTCAGTATTTGCCTACGAATATGCTATTTGTTTTACTCCTGAATGAATCAGTGTTTTGAAGGAGTCAGTTACGATAATTATTCAGTATTTGCTCCTGAAGATGTGCCACTTGTTTCACTCCTGAATGAATCAATGTTTGGAATGAATCAGTTGAGATAATCATTCAGTATTTGCTCCTGAAAAATGTATTGCTTTTTTCATTCCTGAATGAATCAGTGTTTTGAATCATTCTATTGAGATAATCATTCAGTGTTTGCTCACGAAGATGTCATTTGTTTTACTCCTGAATGGATCAGTTTACTAGCTTATGAAAATGTGTCACTTGTTTTGCTGCTGAATGGATACTTGAATCAGTTGAGTGAATCATTCAATGACTCTCTCATTTACTTTCTTGCTTGTTTCTGAATGTTTTAGTATTTTGAAAAACAGTTACGCGAGTTATTCAATGAGCCCCTTACTTGTTTTGCTCTTGAATGAATCAGTGTTTTAAATGAATCAATTAAGATAATCATTCAGTATTTGTTAATGAACATGTCACTTGTTTCACTCCTGAATGAATCAGTGTTTCAAATTAATTGGTTGAGAAAATTGTTGACTACTTACTCGAACAGATTTTTTACTTGATTCACTACCGAATAAATCAGTGTTTTGAATGAATCAGTTGAAATAAACATTCAGTAATTGCTCATGAAGATTCATCTGATTGATTCACTACTGAATGAATCAGTGTTTTACTTGAATCAGTTGAGTGAATTATTTAATGGCTCTTAAACTCTCTCACTTGTTTTCTGAATGAATCAGTGTTTTTACTGAATCTTGTCTCTTGGCTCTCCTGAATCAATCTTAAATTGGCTTGTTGTAAAAATTGACTCTCAACAAACTGGTCAATTAAATAATTCAATGACTTGCTAAATTTAATATTTCACATATTGTGTAGTGCTATTGCTAGGATAATAAGCAAAACAAAAATACATATACAGAGATATACAGTATTATGCACAATGGAACTTACAGTGCAGTGCAATATAATAAAATGCATTGCAATACAACTTGGGCTTCATGAAATCTAAATATTGGTTTACTGATAAAAAGTAGTTCACATGGTACTTATGTGAATGATTTCTAGGCATTACAGTAAATATGATTCTCAAAATACATCCCCCAAATTAGAAGCTTTAGAACATTGATTGTGGAGGACAAATGCAGAACTTCATGCCATTCCAATTGGAAAGACAGACTGGTAAAATAATAGATCTGTGAATGATACCTGGAGACATTTCTCCAACTTTGAGACTTTAGTGTGACCTATTTGTGAGCACAATGACAAACCCAAATGGGAGCAGCCTTAATAGGGCTGAAAATTGAACACCAGATAAAGCATCATTATTAATGTTTTTAATTAGGTATCAGGAAAAAAGCCCACAGCCCCAGTAGAGATGGCTTAAAATAACCGTAACTCTTAACAGTTCTCCTGAGAGTCTACTTCAAATGGCTTCAGTCCTTCATGTATAGAGGCATTGGGTTTCCCTCCAAACTTGCCATTTTTATCTACATTATCATATTGCTTTCAGACTGACAACTCGCATATTTATATTCATATTTCAAGTTATCTGAATAAATTACAGTTTCTTTTTTAGAGCTTTTTTATTTTTTGTACCACAGATCGATACCTTGATATACTCCCGACTTTACCTCCATTAATCGCCCTTGAGAACTAGATCATGAAGTCATCTAAAAATTCTACTTACCTGTATAGAACTAGAAATTATGCCATGACCCCACCTCATTTTTTATCACACATTTGCTTTAATCTCTGCCGCTCCGTGACTGCCAACATTTTCCTAAGGGTACGGTGGTTGACTAGAGATTTGAGGATTTGCCTGAGGCTAGTTTAATCTAATTATAAAACTGACTGGAATGCAGATCACTTTATTTAAAAACAGGTGCCGTTCAAAAGAGCCCAGTGTCCATGAGATATTTAAAGGATTACATAAGTGAACAAAAAACAGAATTTTTTTATCTGGCAGATTATATACAATAAGCCACAGCACCTTAACAAGCACCCTCAAAGGCTTAGAAAGTGCTTAGTAACATCCTGGTTAGTTTTTACAATACCTGGTTTGATTACATTGGCAAATAATGAGACTATATGCTTGTAGAAAAATGGGATCGGGTGGGCAACCTTTGGTGGCCTTTAACACCTCCTCCGATAACTTAATGAGGGCATGGCGTTAAGCTCCGCCCTGCAAGTGTGGGCCTCCTCTGGGAGATCACCTTCATAAAGAACTGGGACACTGGCACTGTTGAAGAATCAGTCACATCTCAGCTCGTCTGCTGGAAAAAAGCCTTCCGTCTGAGTCCTTCAGTCTTGGTGAGTACTGAAGTTTATTCATCTGTTGAACTTTACTGTTTTCTGGACTACAGCTGTTTTTTTAAATGTCCCGCTGGAGATAGTGTTTTTCTTTGGTTCATATTACTAACAAAATGTGCTGTTTTACTATTTGGGATGTGTATAAATTATTATTTTGTGAATGCTGAGAATCATACACTGTAAAACCCAAAAAGTTAAGGTAACTCAAACTATTTGAGGAAACTGATTGCAGCAAACCATTTAAGTTAAAAAACTAATCCTAATGAGTACTGTGAACTTAATCCATTTGAGTATTAGCACAGAAAAACTCGATAAATGAAGAGAACTCAAACCAACTGAGTACTGTAAAACCCAATAAGTTAAGGCAACTCAAACTGTTTGAGGAAACCAATTGCTTCAAACCATTTAATTAAAATAAATAAATAAATAAATAAACTAGTCTATATAAGTACTGTGAACTTACTCCATTTAGGTTGAAGTAATAAGGTATTTAATTAACTCATTACCATCAACACTGAGTTCAAAACTATTTTCGATTGAGTAGAATTTAACTTTCAGTCAATTTTGAGTTAACTACACTCATTTCATTTGACGTTGACTGTTGGGTTTTACAGTGTAGATATTAGTTTTACTACACTGTAAACCCTAATAAGTAAACCCAAACTCTTTGAGGAAACCAATTGCGGCATACCTTTTAGTTTGAAACAAAATGATTTAAGTATTGTAAACTTCAAATACGCATAAATTCTTTGTGTTGATATTGTCAAACAATTAGAGTATTAATAACTTAAACATTTTAAGTTTAGTTATCAAATCAGTATGAGATCAGTTAAAAGAATGAATAAAGTCTAAACAACTTGATAGCTACTCAAATAGTTTGGTATTGCTTCTAGCATTAAAGATAACACAAAAATACAACTAATTTATTCATAATTCATTCAGTTTGAGTTCTGCGTAATATAATCAGTTTTTGAGTTGGCATAGATCTGAATTATAAATTAAACTTAATTCATTTAGTGATTTCAACTGTTTTTCCACTGTTCCACGGTTTTACAGTGTACAGAGATGTTGAGTTGTTTCAATTCTGCTGATGGTTTGAAAGGGTTTCAAGTTTAGAAGCCTTAAATATATAGTAATTTGCCATCTTATTTGCCAGAGAAGAAAGTATTATTCAACTATTATCCATAAATGAGTTATTCACAAAGTAATTTATGAAGGTGAAACGCTTGTTAACAGTGTGTCTATATGCTTCAGTTGCTAAATTTGCGAGAAAATATCTTTTTTAAACTTCTGTGAATGTGAATGTTTGGCATTTCAGTAATAATGAGTAGAGTTTTCATGTCTTTAAGCCATAATTTTGTTTGATTGTAATTTTTTGAAATTTTGTTTAGTTTCATGTTTCATTTAAAAGTAAAAACTTCACAACGAAGGAAGGTTATAAATGTTAAATGGTTATAAACATTAAATGCTCAAACATTGAGACTAAAGTAGAACATTAAAAGGCACAAAAACCACAATTTTACTAAAAAGAAAAGGTGTCTACACTGTATGAAAAGGCTAAACAGATTTTTGCATTCAAAAATCAATACAGAACACTGTAAACTACTAATTCTAACAGAAAATGACTGTAAGGATGGCCACTGTAAAGATCTTGTACAAACCTTTTAATATAATGAACATCATAATGAAATAAGTTTCCTCTTCGTTATACACAGTGAATAACACTAAAGCAACTTTCCCACATTCGTTGTTGTTATTATTATTATTATTTTTAATTAATTTTTCTTCGGCTTAGTCTCTTTATTCATCAGGGAATCGCCACAGCAGAATGAACCATCAACTGAGGGCGTACTCACACTATGTCATCCGTACCGTGCCCAGGCCCATTTCCCGGATCGTTTGAGAAGTGTGAGTGCGCTGAATCGGGCTCAAGCACGGTTCACTTGGCTGGCCCTGGCCCGGTTGGAAGAGGTGTGCCTGAGCGCGGTTCACTTGGGCTTTGGCACGGTATGTTTGTAGTGTGAGTGCAAAACACTGAAACTGAAGCCCGAAACTGAAAGCGAGACGAGACTTTTTTAAGGGACTGTTTCATATGGATTTATTAATAATTTTTACTGTTCTGCCGTAGCTTATTAAATACGCAAACCCCTCACTGCAAGACAGCTGCGCAGCTTCAGCAGACCTCCTCATTCCTGCAGCACGAGGGCTTTATGATTGTTTATGAGCGCCAAAAGTGGGCGAAATATCTGACTGCGTGTCACCGCATCCCTAAGGACTGTTTGGCGAAATATTTGATGGCATGTCACTGCATATCAAACCGACTGAAACGATATAACTAGAGAAATCTCCACTGTGCTGCTGAGTGAGTGACAGCACTTCTCACTGAACAGCACCGCAGCATCGATGACGTAAGCGTGCCGAGGCCCGATTGTGGTGTGAGTGTGGGCCGTCGGGGGAGACGGGAGGGGGGAACAAGCGTACTTTGGCCCGGTTCGAGGCAACTGTACCTAGTGTGAGCCTTATTCTGCATGTTTTACGGCCCTTCCAGCTGCAACCCAGTACTGGGAAACATCCATACACTATGACCAATTTAGTTTATTTAGTTCACCTATACTGCATGTCTTTGGACTGTGGGGGAAACTGGAGCACCCTGAGGAAACCCATGAGAACATGCAAACTCCACACAGAAATACCATCTTATCAGGACTCGAACCAGCGACCTTCTTGCTGTGAGGCAACAGAGCTAAACAATGAGCCACTGTGTCGCCCCATTATTTGTTTTAATAATGCCTTCTTTTTAGCTTTTCTTATCAGTTATGTACAATATACAGTAGTCAAAGCCTTTTATCAAAATTGTCTTAAATCAACGTGTATCGAATGTTCTTGTTTTAGGACCAGACATATTTGTGATCCACTTCAAATGTTGATTACTGTAGTTTTGAGTAGCATCTAATTCGTGACATCCTCTAGAATTGATTGAAAGTGGACAAGCATTCATTCATTTTTCTTTGGCTCAGTCCCTTTAATCATCAAGGGTCGCCACAGCGGAATGAACCGCCAACTTATCCAGCATATGTTTTACACAGCGGATGACATTCCAGCTGCAACTCATCACTGGGATACATCCATACACACTCATTCACTACGGCCAATTTAGTTTATTATTTGGACTGTGGGGTAAACCGAAGCACCTGTAGGAAACCCACACCAACACAGGGAGAACGTGCAAACTCCACACAGAAATGCCAACTGGCCCAGCCGGGACCCAAACCAGCGACCTTCTTGATGTGATTATTTGTATTGATTGTAAACA